TAACATATCTGGTAACTTTTCCCATGAAAGATAAAAAATAAACCTTGATTGACAGCTTCCCAGATATATTTGATTTCTTTTGCTGCAAAATTAGTGCTCTCACTGTGAAATTTAATTGTGTATAATTCGAACGGAGAAATTAGAAAGGTGTAATTAGAAAAGGAATGTGTTAAAATGTCATCTTTGTGCCACTAGAGTGTTACAATGGACATTAAAAGAAAATTCTCAGCGTGCTCTGCTATGCAAACACACCCAAAGCTTGTCAAGTTTAATTAAATGTACATTCCCCATAGCTGCCATTCCTATGGAATAAAAACAGCACCAAGTAAAGTTAAGATCCGAAGCAGCTGAGCCCTTTCCCCAAGTGATGTATAACACTGGCTCAAGTGCATAAGAAATGTGTTGCTCCACAGAATGTAATGAACAGCCTGCCACCACCAACGCATTGCAAATAATGGTTGCATGCTATAGAACTGTTATAATAGTTTTCTCCCCAGAATAATAATTTCCTGTACATGACAAACGTTTCCTTTCATTACCTATGCTAACAGGTTCCTTCCAAACTTGCAGTTAACAGCTCCTATTTAACTGCCCTGGTTATTATTAGTATGTTTGATTTCCATTTCCGAACTTGACTGAATCATAATGTCTTTGGTATTGTATTTTCAGATGACGATGGGTTGGCTCTGAATCTGACGCAATACTGTGTCAGATTCACTTCTGCAATATGCGGAGGATGTTTTCCCTTTCCTGCGTCTTTGTTGTAGTCGCCCACGTAGGTGTAGCGGCTATTTGACCATAGGCAAGCTGCAGGCCCATAGCCAGGATTTTGATTCGGGGGGGGGGGAGGGTTTGGTTTGGGGGGGGCTGAGTCTGAGTGAAAGAGGGTCTACCTTAGCAAACCTTTTGTATCGTTACCCCAATACCCCCATGCATATGGGATATATTGAGCATGGTGATCAGATCATGATATGAATAAACATAACAGTTTAAATAATGTACCAGTAAGGCTGGGGGGGGGGGGGGGCTGAAGGCCCCCCCCCCCCCCCCCCCCCGGCTACAGGCCTGGCAAGCTGGCATTCACCCTATGATTCGGAGCAACTAGAAAACAAATGTAGAAGGTGATCCTGGGGGCAGAATGCAGCTTTGCAAAAAATCTAATTTTCTGTTATTTCAGCAGCAAAATGCAACTCAACCTTAAGGCTCCGAGGAAGCCCAAGAGAGGTCTGCATAAGATTTCCAATGGACAGACATGTAGTTTCTTGTTCCCCTCCCTGGCCTGCAGCGACAAGAGTGCTCACGCTGTCTTACTCTTGAAAGTATGATTCAATAACTGTTCAAGTAAGATAATGTATGTTCTGGACTACACACCCTTCAACACTCACAGTTGTATACTTTGCAAACTACGCTGCTTACAGTGTAAACTACACTGACATATAATCCAGTTCAAAGCAGATAATCTGGATTCAGAAACTACTTTGGCAGTTTGATCTCAGGCCCAATCTACACTGCCACTTAAAATCCAGATTACCTGCTTTGAACTGGAATATATGTTTTTACTGTTTACTATTACTGCTTAATGTTTTGATTTGCTTTATGGTGTATGCGTATTGTTGTATTGTTGTTTTATTGAGGCCTTGGCCTTTGTAAGCCGCATCGAGTCCTTTGGGAGATGCTAGGTAAAGGTAGTCCCCTGACACTAAGTCCAGTCATGTCTGATTCTGGGGTGTGGTGCTCATCTCCATTTCTAAGCCGAAGAGCCAGCATTGTCCGTAGACACCTCCAAGGTCATATGGCTGGCATGACTGCATGGAGCACATCGGGAGATGTTAGCAGGGTACAAATAAAGTTAATAATAATAATAATAATAATAATAATAATAATAATAATAATAAATATGGCAGTGTAGACTCAAATAACCTGGTTAAAAGCAGATGTGGATTGTCTGCTTTGATAATTTGGATTATATGACAGTGTAGCTCCAACCTCAGTTTGCAGCAGGAAAGGGGAAACTGGAAGGAGGTAAGAGAAACTGGACCATTTCAAAAAGCATCTGAAAAACCAGAAGGGGGGCATTAATACAGTTGGCCCTCCATTGGAGGGTTTGATTTTCATGAATTTGGGACCTTGTGTTTTACCATTGAAAAGCGGCTAGTGAAAAAAAGGCATAAGCAACTCGAAGTGACAATGAATTGACCCGGACTCTGATTTTAACTGGCGTGTTTTAACAACTGTTTATTTAATGTTCTGTTTTAATGAATTTGTTGATTGCATTGTTGAAGGCTTTCATGGCCGGAACCACTAGGTTGTTGGATTGTTGTAGGTTTTTCCAGGCTATATGGCCATGTTCTAGAGGTATTTTCTCCTGACGTTTCGCCTGCATCTATGGCAAGCATCCTCAGAGGTAGTGAGGTCTGAGGATGCTTGCCATAGATGCAGGCGAAATGTCAGGAGAAAATGCCTCTAGAACATGGCCATATAGCCGAAAAAACCTACAACAACCCAGTGATTCCGGCCATGAAAGCCTTCCGACAATACCTTGTTGCTGTAGGTTTTTTCAGGCTATATCCTAGTTCTAACAGACCTCACTACCTCTGAGGATGCTTGCCATTGATGCAGGCGAAACGTCAGGAGAAAATGCCTCTAGAACATGGCCATATAGCCCGAAAAACCTACAACAACCTAATTGTTTTTATTATTGTGATGGCACCAAATGGTGCTTGCTCTGAAGCCGCTCGGAGTCCCCTTTCGGGGGTGAGAAGGGCAGGATACAAGTATATGAAATAAATAAATGAATAAATAAATTGATTATTCATGGATTATTTGCTGCAGTCTCTGCTGCTGCCCTACAGCACTTTGAATAGGGACTGCAAGCCTCACGGGATTGATGTATGCTTTTTCAGCGAGTGTACTGCACATAGAATAATAAATTATCTCAGATTATCTGGCAGTGCAGACTCATATATTCCAGTTTAAAGCAAATAATCTGGGATCATATCCTAGCAGGGCAGTGTAGATCCAGCTTTAAATTACTCAGTTTGAGAAAGCTAAAGACCTTGTAAAACTACAGCTCCTATGATTCCATGGCATTGAGCCACTGCAGTTTAAGGGCCCTTCCACACAGCCCTATATCCCAGAATATCAAGGCAGAAAACCCCACATTATCTCTGTGTGGGCTCAGATAACCCAGTCCAAAGCAGATATCGTGGGATTTTCTGCCTTGATATTCTGGGATATAGGGCTATATGGAAGGGTCCAAAGTGATGTCAAACTTTTCGCATTAAGGCTGCAGTGTAGTCATACCCTTTTAAAAACATCTCAGCAGCTTTTTGTAACATTAACCATGTTATAGATTAGATTAGGGCCCCTAACACACACCTGAATAAAAGCCCTGGGTATCTTGACTGGATATTGGGCACCATATAAGGGCTCTTACTTCTTGGGAGGAGAGCAATGTCCAATCTCGATAAAATAGTGAAGAGTGGAGACATCACACTGGCAACAAAGATCCGCATAGTCAAAGCAATGGTATTCCCCATAGTCACCTACGGATGTGAGAGCTGGACCATAGGGAAGGCTGAGCGAAGGAAGATAGATGCTTTTGAACTGTGGTGTTGGAGACAGTTCTGAGAGTGCCTTGGACCGCAAGAAGATCCAACCAGTCCATACTTCAGGAAATAAAGCTAGACTGCTCATTGGAGGGAAGGATAGTAGAGGCAAAGATGAAGTACTTTGACAACATCATGAGAAGAAAGGAAAGCTTAAAAAAGACAATGATGCTGGGGAAAATGGAAGGAAAAAGGAAGAGGGGCGACCAAGGGCAAGATGGATAGATGGGATCCTTGAAGTGACTGGCTTGACTCTGAAGCAGCTGGAGGAGGTGATGGCCGACAGGGGGCACTGGCGTGGGCTGGTCCATGAGATCACGAAGAGTCGGAAACGACTGAACGAATGAACAACAACAACAACAACAACAACAACATAAGGGCCCTTCCACACAGCCTTATATCTCAGAATATCAAGGCAGAAGATCCCACAATATCTGCTTTGAACTGGATTATCTGAGTCCACACTCAGATAATGTGGGATTTTCTGCCTTGATATTCTGGGATATAGGGCTGTGTGGGAGGACCTAATGCTTTGGTTCTGCTCCCGCTTAGATTGTCATTCTTAGGATATCATGAAGAAACAATCCATCATATTAATAGGTTTTTCCCTGGGTGCCAATCAAATAGGCAAGATTTTGCTTTTTTTCAGTTTCTACTGTTACCCTCTTCCAGTTTCTACTTGTTTTTATCGTTCCGCCTTGCCAACTGGATGGGTTTCCCCTCTTCCCCTTTTATAAGAAGAGACTAATTAGTATAAAATACATATTGTTTAGAGAAAAGGCTTAGCTATGGAGAAGAAAGGTGAGAGGTGTCTATGGCGATAAAGAGGCGTCTGAAGAAGAGACTGTCCCCTGATTAAGAAAAATAAAAATACATGAATACTTGGGGCCTTTCCACATTGCTACATAACCCAGAGTAGCACGGCAGATGATACACAATATTTGCTTGTGTGATACATCCGGAGATGATACATCTCCGGCCCATCCCCTGTTCAGATATCAGCCAGCACGCCAATGCCTTAAATTTCTAAGATCTACAGAGATACTCGAAGGAACACCTCAGCAAGTGGGAGTCCAGAAGTGGCAGGCTAAAACCCAGACCTGGGTTATCTGAGAACTGGGTTATCTGAGTTCACACCCAGAATCCAGTTCAATGTGGATTTTATACAGCTGTGTGAAAGAGGCCCAAGATAACAAAGATTTGGAACAAGTGAAAAAAAGTTACACTGATTTCTTTCTTTTTTAGGTTAAAAGGGAATATACGATGGAGATTCGTAATATTTTTGGTGTAGGGAAACAAATTTCCCTTGCTGTGTCTAGGGTTGGAAATTAAGACAATTAATGAGGCATGATGCAAATCTTATATCACTGGAAAGGAAAATGTTTTACTTACCTCTGATTCTTTGTAATAGCGCTCAGGAATTTCATCACAGGCAATATCAATAAAGCAGACTTCTCTGTCAAGATCTTTGGCTTCACTATTATCGAATATCTGCAAGAATTTAAACAAACACTTTAATGTCCTGATGGGCTGTGAATTGTTATGAACAGACAACTCTTAAGGGTCAAAAATACCACTTCCAAAAGCAACAGAGTGTGTTCTTGGCAGTATTTTCGAGTGACTGGGTCACATTGTGCAGATGCAAACAATAACTTTAGAACATGGAGCAAAATTCTGGAGAACATTTCATTTAGTGTCTTTGGCAAGTTTTCCATTTCTTCTTCTCGCACGGCTCTTTCAAAATAGAACATAGCCTAAAAAAAGCACAGAAGCAAAGTAGCGTTTCCTTCTCCATGCAGCTCCTTCTCTTCGGTGTCCTGGGTTTCTCCCCAGGGCCCTTCCACATAGCCATATAACTCAGAATATCAAGGCAGATAACTGAACAGGAGCTTCTTTGTTGAATTCCAGAGCCAGAGAAGCAAATGGCAAAAAACAGAAGAATGGCCTGCCTCAAGGGAGCGTGCTCGCATCACCAATGTTCAACATTTACACATATGATGAGCCACTTCCAGAAGGGGCAGAGAGTTTAATCTATGCTGACGATCATGCCATCACCGCCCAAGCAGGGAGCTTTGAAATGGTTGAACAAGATGCTTTCGAAGCTTTAGGTGCTCTTATTGCCTATTACAGGGAAAACCAGCTGATTCCTAATCCATCTAAAACACAGACATGTGCTTTTCACCTTAAGAACAGACAAGCATCCCAAGCTCTGAGGATTACCTGGGAAGGAATCCCACTGGAGCATTGCAGCACACCCAAATGTCTGGGAGTCACTCTGGACCGTGCTCTGACCTACAAGAAGCACTGTCTGAATATCAAGCAAAAAGTGGCGCTAGAAACAATAGCATTTGATGACTGGCACAACCTGGGGATCACAACCAGACACAGTGAAGACATCTGCACAATACCAGTGATACTACAAAAAAATCTTACACAAAAAACACAAAAAGCCTCTCACCCAAGATTACCAAGACATACCACATTATCACAGGATGTCTATGCGCACCACTGGTGAAATTATACTGTTTAGCTGGTATTGCCTGACATCCGGGAAGTAGCAGCCAATAATGAAAGGACCAAGGCAGCGACATCTCCGGCCCATCCCCTGTTCAGATATCAGCCAGCACGCCAATGCCTTAAATTTCTAAGATCTACAGAGATACTCGAAGGAACACCTCAGCAAGCGGGAGTCCAGAAGTGGCAGGCTAAAACCCAGACCTCAACCCATTGCTGATACTGGATGAGAGATTCTTCCCTGTCACACAGAAGACTGGCAGACTTGGAAGGGGCTTAACAGACTGCACTCTGGCACCACGAGATACAAAGCCAACCTTAAGAAATGGGGCCACAAAGTGGAGTCCACGACATGGAAGTGTGGAGAAGAGCAAAACACAGACCACCTACTACAATGGAACCTGAGCCCTGCCACATGCACAATGGAGGACCTTCTTATAGCAACACCAGAGGCACTCCAAGTGGCCAGCTACTAGTCAAAGGACATTTAATATAATGCCCAGTTTTTTAAAAAGAAAACTGGAAGTTCTTCCTCATGTTCAGATGGAATCTCCTCTCTTGTAGTTTGATTTAGGCTTGGGCGGTTTCGTTCGTTAATTTCGTAATTCGTTATTAATTCGTATTTAAATTAGCTTACGATCCAATATTGAGCCATGCAGGAATAGTGTGAGGAGTAATTAAGATTCGAAACAATTTTTTCAATTTATTTCGTAATTATTTCGTAATTATTTTCGCATGTCTGGTGCAAGTTTTATAGTTGTTGTTTGTTTTATCACACCAACAGTCAACAACAGAGGGAGAGGGAAGCTTCAGAAGTTCCCCCTGTCCCATTTGGAGGTTTTTTTTAGCATATTGCGCAATCTCGTCCGCCATTAACGAATCGATTCGTAATTTTACGAAATTTCGTAAATTTCAAAAAATTTTAAAGGAAAAATTTTGGAATTATTAAAAAAAACGAAACGCAAGGGCCCCCTAAAAACAAAACGAGTTTAGAACCACATTTTTCTGTGGTTACCCAAGCCTAACTGGGTTATCTAGGGGCTCTTCCACACAACCATATAACCCAGAATATCAAGGCAGAAAATCCCACAATATCTGCTTTGAACTGGGTTATCTGAGTCCACACTGCCATATATCCCAGTTCAAAGCAGAAAATGTGGGATTTTATGCAGCTGTGTGGAAGGGACTTGAGGTTCATGGTTTTCCTTCCTCAAGCTCTAATTCATCCACAAGGGAGCAATTCCCAAACATCCCTGACCCATTAGCCTCCATCAATTAACCATTCTGGGCTATTAACAGGCATTAGACATTGTTTTCATTGCATGGAAGATAGAACTACCATTCTCTTCAACAGTAAGGTTTATTTTATTTTTCTGCTTTGGTACGAATATGAGAATAATTACCACGCCCAAAAGCTCTCCACTCCTTCTAAAGGCAATGTCCAGGCTGGAGAAGATATTTGTCCTTGTCTTCTGAGGAAGACAAGATTGAACCCTTTGCTATGTGTACCACTTTTCTTTGTACAACCTGTTGCAAACTCTATGGTATCTATGAGCACTCAAAGCATGCTATAAAAGCAGTGCAAGTAATGTATCACCACGTAACAACTTCGTACAACATGCTTGTACTGTTATCCCCATATTTCAGATGTGAAGGATTATGTCCTGGGAGTGAGGCACCTTCTACACTGTCATATAAAATCCAGATTATCTGCTTTGAACTGGATTATATGGCAGTGTAGACTCATATAATCCAATTCAAAGCAGAGAATGTGGATTATCTGTTTTGATAATTTGGATTATATGTCAGTGTCGAAGGGGCCTTAATGTCCTGACTGCAACACTATACCAGCCCTGATATCCATTAACACATTATTTCCTATTCCTTGTAATCACCTTCTACAGCAGTGGATCTCAACCTTCCTAATGCCGCGACCCCTGAATACAGTTCCTCATGTTGTGGTGACCCCCAACCATAACCCTAACATTATGAATCATCATGTAAATAATGATCTTCAGGATGTATTTTCATTCACTGGAGCACATTTGGCACAAATACCAGGTATACCCAAATTTGAATACTGGTGGGGTTGGCGGGGGGATTGATTTTGTCATTTGGGAGTTGTAGTTGCTGGGATTTATAGTTAACATGTAAACAAAGAGCATTCTGAACCCCTCCAACAATGGAATTGAACCAAAGTTGGCACAGAACTCCCATGACCAACAGAAAATACTGGAAGGGTTTGGTGGGCATTGACCTTGAGTTTGGGAGTTGTAGTTCGCCTACATCCAGAGAGCACTGTGGGCTCAAACAATGATGGATCTGGACCAAACTTGGCATGGATACCCAATATGCCCAAATGTGAACACTGATGGGCTTTGGGGAAAATAGACTTTGACATTTGGGAGTTGTACTTGCTGGGATTTATAGTTCACCTACAATCAAGCAGCGTTCTGAACCCCACCAATGATAGAATTGGGCCAAATTTCTCACACAGAACCCCCATGACCAACAGAAAATACTGTGTTTTCTGAAGGTCTTTGGCGACCCCTCTGACACCCCTTCGCGACCCCTTCAGGGGTCCCGACCCCCAGGTTGAGAAACACTGTTCTACAGAAACATAAATCCGTGGGCACTCTGAACTTTAGTTTATGTGTGTTTCTTTCCTGTACCGTATCACAGCTGGAGGTTGAATCCTATTAGATTTAATCATCCTGGGAAGCCTGCAGTGACCAATGCCTTATGACTTTATTGATTTGGTTAATCTATTTTGTATTTTACTACCTTTCAAACTATGTTCCGATTGTACTTTTTGGAGAATGTGTGAATGTTATGATGCATGTCCATTTTAGTCTTCCTTGTGTGCTACCCATCTCTTTGGAAGAAGGGCCTTCTCTAAGATAGACATAAACAACACAAATAAGATAGAGAATAAATAAGACAGATTTACTGCAATGGAAATTAGAGATTGATTTCTTTTCAGACCCACTTTTCCTATGCTTCTTCCAGCCAAATACCCTGAAATGCTCTTAGAGTTTGCAGGGGAGATAATTTGATTGGTTTTGCAATCATGCTGAGGATATTTTTAAAAGGTTTTTTAAGCGATTAAAGCCCCCGGGAGGGGAAAAAAAAACATAAGGTTTCCCATCTGTGTCTCTCCATTGGCAAAGCGCAAGAAGCAAATGGCAAGAACATTTTGTGTTCTTAACAATACTGGGATTGTAAAAAGGGCTAATCAATATTATGATATCAGAGAGAAATTATGGAAACCATGTAGTGAATGTTTCTTTTAAAGCAACATAAAATTCATATAACCAAGAGTGCGTCTACACGGTTGAATTAATGCAGTTTGACACCATTTTAACCGCCATGACCCAGTTTGATGGGTTCTTATTTATTTATTTATTTACAATATTTATGTTGGAGCATGTAAAAATCAGTTGGTGAGTGTGTTAACTGAAAAATGTAAAGCATGAAGCTGATTGATTGGGCTATGCCTGGGAAGCTATCTGAGCCTGGGAGTTTTGGCAACAGTTACATGTTTAGGTTTTCAGCGCAGAAGCTTGCCAAGAGAAGTCAGTATATTTTCTGCTTCTGAGCTGCAGGAAGAAGATTCTTCACATAGAAACCCAAGGAACATTTGAATTTCTCTCAGAAGATATTATGTGACTCAATGCAACTGTTCACATGACTCCATATATGTTGCTCTGCATAACAAAGTGTAAACACCTTATTAACATGTTGTGTTGTATGTCATATAGAGACATTCAATGAGATGGCTGTTGTGGCTTTCAAAAAAACCAAAACATTTCTGTCGAACTTTTAAAAAACCTTCAAAATCGTTAGATGTTTGAATATTTCTGAAACTTGGGGAAAATGATCCCGTTATGTCATTGTATAGAAAATTCAAGGAGATCGCTCTTAAAGTTTTTTAAAAAAATATTGTTTGCAAAAACTTTGAAAATTCACCAAAAATC